CAATGAGTTTCTTTCTTAATTTTCGTATATATCTAAGCCCTTCAGAATGGGCTTTTAATACTCATCTGCCAAGTTTTGACTTCTTACAACTCCATGCTTATTCCTGTGCTTTAACTGATGAGAACCTTGTTACAGCCAATCAACATATGCGCTTCTCTTTTTGTCTCATGAAAAACATAATGTTAGGTAAATGTACCTGGGGTAAATACAAAATGTAGTTTTGATCCTTATAATGAGATGTTCTACAACCCCCTTAGCCCAATGTAAAGAAGTAAGTGCCTTCTAACCCTAATAGCTAATTGTGACAACAACTCCCATCAAGCATTTGTGAGAACTCAGATCTCTCCTCAGCTTTTCCATGTGCTAAGGAAACTTTTTACCTGTGGTAATTGGAGGAATTATTGACATTTCTGCCTAATTCAGCATTTGTGTTATTATTTTAAACAGGAACCTCTTTTTTAAAGCCACACATTCACACTAAGATTTAAGCATACTTTTTTACTATTCGTTGTACTTTCTCTGAATTGCTTTATGTTTTACATTTTATCTAATAGAACATAGATTTTTTTTTTCAAAACTTAAAATTTTTGTCTTTGGGATAGAATAGTATAGAAAAATTAATTGTCTGGTTTCTAACTTGCGGCATTTGTCTTGTTTCCATGAATATAAATGAATGTAAAATGGGCCTTTTCTCTCTATTTGATCAGCAGTGCTTTATTCACTGGAACTCTTCTATTGATGCCATTATTTTAAAATAATTTTAAAACTATGAAAACTGACCTGGGTTGAATTTGAGGTTGACAGAGGTTGCAGAACTCCTGGATAAGACAAAACTATATGCTTAAAGTGACTTTGATACGAAGACCACGTTAGTTTGACCAATTTTCAATATTTTTCCATTTTTATTTAATGGCTTACAATCCTTTTCACTGTAATCGTATAGAGGTACAGTTAGCTAACCCTACATTTTTTCGACTTGTGTAAAATTCAGTTTGATAATCTAGAACATCGAGGTGTGACAAATTTGAAAACAAAAATCTGTGCAGCGCTAAATACTTTTTCACTGCTCTGCAGATCCATACTGTGTCTACAGTTCTCCAAACAGCAGCCTCCACACAGATGTGGGGTGTCAAGACTATTTGTGTTATACATTCCCCACATTTCTCCCTGTTCCTGATGAAAAGGACCCCTCTCGTTGCCAGTTTTGGTTAACTCTGGACTAATATATATTAGGGACGCGTTTCAAATAAACACAACACTTTCCACCCTCTCTTTCTCTTCCTTTGTGTGCGTGGAGGGACAATAAGGGAGCTGTGATGAAGAACTTTATAGGAACATTTAGCCTAAGAGTGAGGGATTGAAGCTAGTAAACAAAGCATTCCTTTCCCTTTCATCACCATTTAACTGTTCCCTTAACACTCAGCCTCACCTCCAGGCCAGTGCCCAGCAGAGCGGAGAGCTTGTCAAATAAAAATAAATCTTAAAGTAAAGGTTTATTTCAGTCGTTTACCACTTGCTTGGAAATCTGCTCATTGCACCGTTATTAACAATAAGAAATCAGTTGAGAATTCTTCATTCTTGACTCTGAAATGAATATGTTGGAGGGTGGGGGGTCACCTTGGATGGGCTGTTGGTCATGCTCAGGTTAATGGATGTTGTGTCAATCATTTAAAATGACTACTAAAGAGTGCACTTAGCATCTTTTGTTCCCCCTAACAAATATGTGAGCAGTGACATGATACTGTACAAGAGTCTGGACAGCATATAGCATATCAAAGCAAATCCTTAATTGCTTCCAGGACAAGGTCGTTGCTTTTATGCAAGCTTTTTTTCCCAGTTTTCTCTTGTTTTCATCTGCAGATTGGGAAGCATTAAAGTGTTAAGTAAACTTGACCCAGCCGGGGTAGATTCATTGGGAAATAGTCAGTGTTCCTGCATTCGGTGCTGTATCAGTGACATTCAGGCTGTGGATTTCCTCCTTGTCCGATGGACACCATATGTTGATGCGGTTTCTGCAGCTGCAGTCCCTGAAACTTTCAGGCGCTCCATAATTACATTTGTTGGCTATGATGAGAGCATGTTTGCTAAAGGGTGACAACAGAATGAGTCTGATCTGAGGGCAAAGGTTGATTTGATTCAGATCCATTGAAGATCTCTTAGGAGTATGGAAAGTCTAAGCTGATCTGTCATTTTTTCCAAGAAATTTGTGGATTCCTGCAAAGTTATGTAATTTGTCTACTTATTAGTCTTGCACCTTGCAAAAGTGTTCATAACCCCTCAAGGTTGTTCAGTTTTTGTAAGAAAACATGAACACAAGGTGGAATATATTTAAATGAACATAAAAGCAAAATAATAAACTTTTATAAGGCTTCTTACAAAACAAAATCTGGGATGTGCAGCATGCATAATTATGTTGCTAACTCTAAATAAAATCAACTGAAAACCTTTTGTGTTCAGAAATGTCTATTTAATAAATCAGTTTAATGCAGTGTCAGTAACATGGCAAACCCGGTCAGGGAGATATTGTGCAGACGTTTTTTTAAGGAAGGTTAGTTTATAGAAAATAAAAAGTTCAATATTTAAACATCTCAGACCAATATTGAATCCATCTGGACAGCTGTAGGCCTACCAAAGCATGGGTATCCACCGAAACTGACAGGGCTGGCGTGGAACACATTAAACAAAGAAGCAGCCTGGGGGCCAATAGTAACTCTGGAGGAGCTGAGGAGAAGTATTAGTCTTTCACTACACAAATCTGGCCTTTCGGAAAAAAGAAAGTGATTGCTAAAAGAATCAATAAGAAATCCAATTTGCAGTTCCCTACAAGCCATAAGCCAAACACAACAAAGATGTGGATGGCCACAAGTAAACATTTGCAGCCTAAATGGCTGTGTAGAGTACATCACCTGTGAACACCATTGCTATTCTGAAACATGGCGATAGCTGCATCATGCTATGGGGATAGTTGTTTTTTTTGTTGACGAGATCAGGGAAGTTGGTCACGTTTATGGAGAGATGAAGGGATGTAAGTATAGCACATTGACAAAGACCTACACTGAAAGGGTTAGATCAAAGATAAATGTGTATTGAAATCATTGGGGAAATAAGCCATCTAAATTCTGAGGTGCAGTCTCCTCTTTGTTTTTAATTTTCTTTTGCAAGAAGCAGTGATACCAACTCTCTGTTTACCACACATGTATAAAAGCTATAAAAATCCCAATATAGTTTAAATTTGGTTCTTTTACCTAATCTACTCCTGCTCCCCGCTGTTTCCCCAAAGTCAACTAACCGCATACCCCAATAGGAATCCACTTATGTTAAGAAATGCCCCTTATTAGTCCAAACCCAGATATGATTATATATCTTCTGCAAAGCCAATCTAACCAAACTTGATCTATTTTAATAGCATATAAAATTACTCTTTAGATGGCACATCCCAAACATCTGAACTACTGAAGTGCACTCATTTACTCAGTGGATGCTAAATACGGTTGCAGCTTTTTAGTTTTATTTCTATATTATGACAAAAAAATAAATGTAGCTTTCATTCTAATTTGTTCTTATCTTTCTCATAAAACTCCCATTAAACACAATAATAGTTTTAATTTTGACAAAATGTGAACACAAAAGGTATTTTTCATGGAACCGTAAAGGCAATGGCAAAAATGTATCCTGAAACATTAAAAGCACTCAACATTTTGGCAAATTTCCAAATGTTTTGAATGAATTAAACACAGAAAAGGCACAACTCACCAGACATTCCAGACTTTGTTTGGAATTTTATTTGTACAGTAATGGTGTGGAGTAGTATCCAGTTATATATGTATATAAATGATCTTATATATATATCATTGCAAAAGCTCTTTACACTTTAACTGAACGCACCTCAAACTCAGAACCTATATGCAATAATGAGGTAGATAGATATTAATAATGGTACTTTCCACCCTCTGCAAAAATATTGAAGACACCTTAAATTACTCTTTTCGACGTAAGAAATATATGATTATCATGGAACTCTGTACATCACAAATAATAAAATAATTATAGAATAAAAATCTTTACCGATTTGAGTGCCCTTTTGTACATTTACAAAGAAATGCCGTTTGCGCATATCCTCATTTGTAGCACTTTGTAAAGTTTTTTTCTTTTTTTCTTTGACTGTACAAATATTTACAACTTAGAGATAAAGAGAGAAAACATAACGAACAGCAGTGCATTCAAAGCTAATGTGCATTTAAATATCGTCTCGTTTGGTGAGTCTTTACATTTTCTCCTTGCCCACTTGTCCACGCATGGCGCAGGAAGTCGTGGAAGTGCATTGCGTAAGGATGCAGACTTTTGAGCGTAAAATCCGAGCCAGATATGTGTGCTTTTCGAAAGAAATCTTGCCGTTTTCACGCGTCAGGGGCCCAGGTGATGCACAGGTCTTATCTGGGTCCTTTCAACTGTTCTCTTGTAAGGCAACCCCCCCACCCCCTCCCAAAAAAATACAAACAAACAATCAAAAAAATCTCTTGAAGGCATCACCATCACCACCTTTCTTCCTCGCTAAGTGATCCAATCTTTTCTTTTTTAATGTTTGGTACATTAGACATTCACCTCATGTATTTAATAATCTACTTTTTGGTGAAAGCAGGTTCTGATTGGCTCCAGTTGGATAGGGCCGTGCTCATGGGCCCACTCCAGGTAAGTCCAGCCTCTGTAGCTGACAGGATTCTCACTGGCCGTCCAGATGGCGCACCTGGAAGCAGGCTCCTCTGTGGCCTGCAGCCAGAGCGTGCTCTATGTCTGTTCACAGATTTGTGCCTAACAACCTGGACACCTCGCCCTGATCTTTGCATGGACAAGAACAAATGTGCGGGACATTTTTTGTATGAATCAGTCAAAATAAATAAGATGATGGAGGGTACTTTGAGCGCATCTTCAGACCCTGTGAGGAGAGGATAGTTCAGTCCAGGAGCCATCAGGATTTCAATTTGAACAAATGAGTTTTTTTCCTCATTTGTTTTATCAGCATTAAATTAAATTAAATGACCGCTACCTGCAGCCACACTGCTCCACAATCATCTCCTCATACTGCTTGTACACCACGTTGTTTCCCGCGTCTGTAAACAGGATGCTGATGGGGCTGAGTTTAGTGGGCACACAGCAGCTCGGTGGGGTGCTGTTTGGGTCCATGGAGTTCATGAGGGTCTGGATGATGGCGTGGTTGGTGGGCTCCAGGTGCGACCTGAGCGGGAAGTCGCACACGCCCTCGCAGTGGTGGGCCTCGTAGCCCAGCGGGGCGATGATCCAATCGTCCCAGCCCAGCTCCTTGAAGTTCACATACAGAGCTTTTTTGCTGCACCTGTACTTGGATTTCTTCCCGTGCCTCTTCCCGTGCCGGTTGCTCTGCGCCGTCCTTCTGCGCCGCCGGGGGCCCTCTCCCGTCCCCCCCTTCATCGGCTTCTCTTCAACCGACCTTCGCGACTTGATCTTCTCCTTCATCTCGTTAAACAGGTTCTCTCTCTTCTTGGAGCGGGTGTAAGCGACCAAGATGGCCTTCTCCTGCTGGCCGCGGCCGCCCCTGTCCAGCCCCAGCCGCCTCAGGTCGACCTCTGTGTCAGATTTACTGAGAACGGCCCTGAGCTGGAAGCAGAGCTGATTTCTCTGTTGGTGTTGTGTCTGAAATGCATGCCACACGTCCAAAACCTCCCAGCCGGCTTTATTGGAATCCATGGGGTCCAAATACCTGGAGTCCAGCAGTGTGTCGGAGCGACATGGATAGAGCTGGATGTGGAGGGGTCCATCCGTCTGCGGGGCCCCCGATGCTCTCCTGAATATCCTTAATTCTGCTCCGACCAGCTCCTCTTTCTCCGAAAGGGTGGAAACATCAAACAGATACTTCTGTCTTCTCAAAGGGGAGTGCAAAAGATTGTCTGCAAGGAGAAAAGGAGAAAAATAATTGCAGTCAGATTCACTTAGAGTGTACAGTGTTCAGCGAGAGAAGAGAGGAGGGGGTCATTTTCTCCCACAGAGGCCTTCTCTCTCTTTCTTGTTTTTCAAATGTTCACCAATGAGCCCGCCTCAAACAAACTGCAGCTGACAAGGCCTCTGTTCGGAGGAGAAAGACAAAACCCCCACGCGGACATTAAAGAAGTAGGCCCGTGATTCATGTTTCCCTCTATTTTATAACTCACATCCGCCGTTATTATAAATGGATCATCATCAGCATCAAGGCCTTGTGTTTTACTTTTTTATAGAGAAACAAACAAACGAAGCGCCTGCTGCCCTGCAGTAAATACTGGATCGCATCTATTGCGCGCATTGCGCATAGATGGCCTTTATTTTCCTTTCGAATAAATCCGGTTTTTCATGTCAGAAATCCACAACAAACCCTAATGCAGATGCAGCCCGTTAATACATTTCAACTGCGCTCACATATTTACTCAAATGCACGCGTTTGAATGTGGAGTTAGAGTTCTAAAAAACGTTGGGAGGAATTGAACCAAGCATAGGATTTTGCAGGTGTAAGGCATAAGGACGGATTACATTTCAAACACCCCACAAAAACAGACAATAAATAAATAAATAAATAAATAAATAAATAAATAAATAAATAAATAAAAAAATAAAAATATTTTGTTTAAAGTTTAGGGGAAAATATCACTTGAGCCAAGTGTTCTGCAGAAAATCATGCTGGTTATCATTTTATAAAGCGCAAAATCCACCCAGAGCGTTTATGGGCAGAGCTAAAAATGACTATCATAATGAGTTTACTGTGACGTTTTTAATGGTAAAATGTTCTTTCTTGCATCAATAATTTCACTTCATAAGAGTAGCTACTAATCTACAGTGTATATATATATATATATATATATATATATTAAGGGTATATACTACATCACTGCAATAAATTATAAAATATGGAATCGAATAAATTTGTTATTCAATTTTCGACAATGCTTAAATTCAAGAATCACAACAAATGGAGATACATTTGATTACAAAATGGGTTAAAGATGTTGGTTCAGTCAGCTACTATTCTGTGCAGCCAAGAAATTGAGAAGATTACATGTTTAAAAAGGGCTTTATTATAATTAAAACATTAAGATTATGAATGATAAAATGCTCAATGTTGGAGGAGGAAAGTTTTTAGCTTTGACTAGTTCATCTGGTTTTCTCGTTTAAGCCCTTTTTACCTGCAAACTAGATTGTAAAAGTCAATATGAGATCATATCAAATAAGCATTACAATAATTTAAGTTATTCATCATATTTGTTTGTAACTAATTCAGTGTTGGCAACTTACCTAACGAAACAAAGTCTTCTTTATTCATGATTTTTTTATTTCAAATTTTGCTCTTTTCTTTGTAAAGCACACATGACCATAGGCTATGTCTTAGGGCTTAATGTTGAGAAAGTTCCTGGAACTTCACGCAGCTTTTAACTAGATAAACAGCAAGGCTGAGGCTAAAGTCAAAATTGTTAGTGAGCTGTAACTCTTAGGGATGAAGTTAGAACTTGTTAGAACAGTTTTATAAAGTGTTGTGGTGGATATTTTGTACCTAAATAATAAAAAAACGTTTTTTATTTTATTCTAATTTATCATGGGAAAAAAAACAGATAAGGGAAAAAAGAGACCAGTTATTGATAAGAAACTGCTTTGGTGATAATAAGTGTCTTTTAATTTCTTTCTTTCTTTGTTTTTTTTTTTTGTTTTTTTTTTGTTTTTTTGCAATTTGTTTTATGAGCTGACATTTTATTAATAATGCCCACCACTATAACAGAGCAGGAAGTTAAAGTACAAGAAATTAAACATGTAAAAAAAGAAGGAGGAACACGACTGAAGCAGAATAACTGCATACTCAGCTGAACAGAGCCCAATTATGACATTATTCTCCTCCCCAGAGGCATGAACGCGTTTCATCAAGGCCATCCAACAAGGATGGCATGCCATACAGACTAAAAGGAAATATAAAGCAGCAAAACAACAGACACAGTACTCAGTTTTTGCAGCCTAAACGCAATGAGATCAAAATACACACTATTTAAGTTTAAAAATTGCATCACTTCTTTTCATTATTTTCATTTTGGTGACAGCTGTTCTCTCGTAATTGTATCAGCAGCTTAATAATAAGTTGATTGATGAGCAGGAAGGTTAAAGTGAAAATAGAAAAAAATACATCTACCTATGTTTATCATGTTGTTAAAATTTTCTTTTTTTTTTGTTTTTATTTAGGCCTATTGTATTTTATTAATCTCTATTTTTTGTAGGCCTGCAGTAAATTCTGGGTTTTGTCGCCACATTTCTCAGGTTGTTATTGTTTCTTTGAATGCTGCTGTGATTTAGAATGTCATAGATCTCAATACTAACTTCGCTGTTGCATCAGTTGTTAAAAATATATTTTTTTTTCCTAAAATAAATTCGTCAGTTTCCCTCCGTAACGCCCGCCGAGCCAGACAGTATAAGCAGATTGAAACATTGTGCCTCCTTTTTATTGACTTTTTCCGTCTGGTTCGCATTAAGTTTTTTCTTTTATAAGCGCTCAAACAAATCGAATACAACTTTGCCAAATAATTAACAGTTCTCAGCTCCCATCCTCCTCATTAAAACACTTCCCCTCTTCCATTTCACCCCATCCTGCCAACGACAACATTCCACTGAAAACCAATTCGCCAGCACTGAACGACTCAGTGACTGACTGACTGACTGATTGTGTTATATGAGCTATCAGTCTTTTCTTTTACTTTATTTTATTTTATTAAAACATCCTGCGCACTTTTCCTATTTTGGTTGGCTAAATAGCAAGAGTTGCACTTTCTCAAAAACATATTAAAGATGATAGACCCTTCTCCTTTTAAGTAATTTATTTATGTGTTTATTTGTTAATTATGTCATGTTATCCATCTATATATTATATAAGGCAAGTGCAGCCAAGGATCTCGCAATGATTGTGGTCTTCCGTGCGTAAATCCTGCCCAAGGACGCAAAGGTGGTTAGTGTAGGCGTAAAAGTGTGTCACTTTTGTGATTTTAAATGAGTTCATAGCTCCAACGAGGTTCATTGTGCCTGTTAGAATGAGGCGCAACACTTTGAAGACATTGGCTGACAGCAGCACAAGAAGCAACCAACGGCGCGTTAGCTGCAAGAATTTGGTTTCCGCAATTAAAGTGCTGCTCGCAAAGGGAGGTTCCGCAGTAAAACAAGAAGGGGAAAAAATCCAAACCACTTCACAGAGAAGGAAGCGCTCTAATTTTCCTCTTTTTTTTTTGTTTTCTTGGGGATTTGCCCACCGTGGCCGGGTTGGATCATTACGAGAGAATAGACAGTGTTTGATATGTTATGACATCAACACTCTGTTAGATCACCGAGTTCAAGCACTGTAGCCAGCCGTTCGATGCCAAGCGGCCCTCTGAAGGGTCCAGCTCAGGGTCAGAGCCGCTGACACATCACATCAGAATCACAAGACAGAGTCTGACACGTCCCCCTCCAATCACATCAGGTCCCCATCAGTATTTTACGTTCAAATCCCGCAAAAAAAAAAAAAACGCATTCACTGCAGCTATTGGGGGTGCAAAGGAGGGCAGTGGACACCCCTATAAATCTGCTGATCATACCCTCTTTCACAGTTTTATTTATGTCTTTCTTTATTTACTTACTCACGTTCTGTTCAGGTTACCTTCATCTGCGATCCAGTTTTAAACTTTTCACCCACTGCTGCTCCCCAACAACCCTGTAGGCCTCTACGACAGAACCAGGGCTTAAGGATCCTGTTCCAACTTCTGGAGCACAAATTTTTCAGTGTTGCTTTTATCTTATTAAAACACCCATATTAAGAAGTCTGTGGATTGGCCTTAGTTGAAATAAAAATAAATAAATAAAAAAAATCCTGCCTAGAAATAGCAAAAAAATAAAAAAATAAATTTATAGAATAGTTAATAATAGAGAAAGAATTAAAAAAAGGAACAAACAAAAATACTATAAAAAAAAAAATTGATTCTCACGTGCAGAGATGTTTGGAACTGTTTCTGCTGCCTGTGGTGCGCGCCAGTGCGCAGGAGTTCAGTGCGCTTCTAACCAAAGATTTTTTTTTTCGTTCAAAGATTAACCCTTGTTCCTCCTGTTTGTATATGTGGGAGCCTGTGTTTGTGCGAATCGAAGGTATCGGTGCAGATCAGACTGTGTTTTTTCTCACAGGTCGCTCCTATCACTTGTTTAACTGATCCAAACACCTGCTGCTCCCGCTCTGCGCCGCCGCTCCTCTGGGCTTATACTGCGCACCGTAACGGTAACAGATTGGATGTTTTAATAAGTGAAGGCTGCGGGTTGGTATGGGGGTTGGACTCTGTTTGAAGGTCTTTTAAAGGAGGAAAAGTGAAGGAAGTAACCGCTGATAAATCAACGTGTCCGCAAACCTGTGCGCGGAGAAAATGAAATAAACTGACAGTCTAAAGCGTCGTGAAACACTCCAGTGTTAGTTTAGATTTTCGGCAATCTAACATTTATTTCAATCCCTTCTCTTAAAAACTAGATAAAAAATAAAGCATGGCATCTAAGCTTATAACTGCAGCGCTTAGAAAGTTCATCAAAATGTTTCTCAAAATTTAAACGCATAAAAGTGCATCGCTGCTTTGCTTTTGATTCCGTTAGTGTATGCAAAATAAGTTAGAGCCAATCAGCTGATTTAACACCGTGAACACATCAAAGTGTTGAACTATGCAACGTTCTTAAAGCAGCAGGTTCTTCACTCCACAAACCTTGTTTTTCCCTCCAAGATTTAGTGGTTGATTTGATTCTAAGTTTATTGCCTGAAAAAAAAGTTAATAAGCAAAATAAATCGCCCACTTTCTGACAAATAGATATGTAAATTTAAGTCTTTACAAATTTCTTAAGCAATGAATAAGATTTTATTCGAATGTAAGCGCGTAATAGTGCGCCAGTTCCTTTAGCTTCATTTGGATTGTGCGTAAAAGCAGACCGAGCTGATCTACTTGTTCCTGACCCCAATCTAACCAGAATGAATAGAATCATATCAGAGCAGATCATGCAAAACTGGGTCCAAAAACCAACCTGTTCCTTTGTCCACAAAACTCGTAATGGTGTTGGCTGATTTTGAGGAGCGGAAAAAACTCGCGTTTAGTCCAAGTTTTTCTGCCGCCGAGTACGTCCTGTATATGGAGAGCATGTACTCGTGCGGGACAACAGCGTCCTTTGGGACTTCTTCTTTGTGGCGTCCTGCTGCAGAGTGCGAGGACGCGATGATGTCTATGAAGAGCTTGGATGACCTTTGTCCGTATGGATGAGAGATCCTGGATTCCCTGTTCCTCCGAGGCGCAGATGGAGAGATGATAGCAGCACACTGGAAGCACGGTATATTCCCAAACAAAACAAGGAGCAGGCCCAGGTGTATAGCATAGGCTCGATATGCATCCATGGTTGGTTGTGGCGTGGAGTTTTTTTTTAACTCCTCTTCTGTAGATGAAGCGCTGGAGCCGGGAGGATGGTGAGCGCGTCAGAGTCGAAGAGCTCCCACCTTTGCGCTCTGCAGTCGCACCAGAAGCAATGCGTTTTTCTCGCTCTGAACTCCACACAAGACTGGAGACTGTTGGGTCGAGAGAAACACGCCCACATGGTGGCTCAATGCAGGGCTTCCTAAACAATTTTCATGTCACAAAGCTCCAAGGAGCCACAGCTGCAGCCAGTGGAGCGTCACAGAAGCCACAGAAATGAATCAGTTCAGTATTTTTCTTTGCAATAAATGGCTCTGGCATCTGCGCATCTAACTTCAACAACATATAAAGTTTTTTGTTGTTGTTTGTTTCTAAATAACACCAAATAGAAAACATGTATTCTTCCAGAGAGAACGAAAGCCAAACTTTTTCTCGTTCAATAAAGCTGGTTAAAGCTGAAAGCACATCTTATCAGCAGAGGCAGGTCTGCGATCCTGTAGAATGAAGGTGTAAGTCCACAGAGTTCAGACTGATCACAAAGTCTCTGAATCCCATCAGATAAGATGCTGCGCGCAGATACAGACAGCAGTTAATCACAAAGAAGGCTGTTACAATGTATAGTGTTTTTTTTTCTTTTTTACGTCTAGTAGCCTGTATTAAAAAAAATGTTGAGATTTATTTGAAAAAACAAAAAAACAAAACAAAAAACAAAGCAAAACCAAACTAAAAAAAAAAAAAAAAATTAAATCAGATCTAACATCAGTTGTAACGTTATTTATTCTGAGATATTAAAACATGAGACACAGTGGGGTGTCACAGTAAACCAAACCCTTTTCATTGTGACAGTAAGTTCTGTTAGAGTTAGCCACATAATAATAAGCTTTATAGTCGTTACAATTTATTAATTACAAATGGAAGGACTCTAGCGACCTCTAGAGGTTAATATCTTATATCACATAAAAGCTTGGCATCTCAGCTAAATGGTGCAAAGCCAACTTTTAGGAAAGCCTGTACACCCTTAAAAGTGCAACTAAATCTCCCTACTTCTAATTGAGCACGATTTAAAACTGAATTAAAATAAAATGTTGATTAAAACATCTTTATAGGTCTGTCAAATGAAAAAGACTCCAAAGTGAATGCATGTGTTCTCTACAAGATCCTGCTGTGTGGGACTTTGTTGTTATAAGTGAATCTTGAAGTGGTTTAGTTATGATTTGTTTGTCTGAATCTAAGGGAAGCATTTGCCTCCTGTTAGTTCCCAAGTTCTGCTCTGCTGTCTTCATCTGACAGAGGATAGCGTATAGAATAGAAAAGCCCTTTATTTTCCCACAGTGGGTAAATTCTGGTGTTTATAGCAGAAAATGGATTATAGAGAAAAAAAGGTCACAAATATAAGCCTTAGAAAAATGTATAAGAATAATGTAATTGTTAACAGTTAAAAGATAAACAATAACATACTGTACTGTAAAGCGTTTTAACAATATAGGTACTATGCACTTGGAGAATAAATAACCAATATACAGCTATGGACATTTTCACATTAATGGATATTTGCAAATAGCAGCAACATTAGATATATGCAAAATGACAGCAGCATGTAATTTAACTGACTAAGGTAGAAACTGTGCAAAATTACCATGAATGTAACAACTTATTGAGGTTGTTGGGAACAGTAATGGAAGGATCTGTGATAACGCCCCCTGGTGCATTTAGGGTGCAGCAGTCTGTCACTGGAGGAGCTCTCTAGTTCTGCAACAGCTTCATGCATGAGGTGGGAGACATTATCCAACAGAGATGTTGATTTAGTTAGGATCCTTTTGTTTCCCACCTGCTGCACTGAGTCCAGAGGGCATCCAATCACAGATCTGGCCTTCCTGATCAGCTGATCCAACCGCTTTCTCTCAGCTAGAGATTATCCAATGCTCCAACAGACAGCTCCATAGAAGATGGCTGATGCCACAAAAGAGTAATAGGTGGTCTTTATTCTAAATAATATGAGATCCAAATGTCAGTGAGCCACTTTAACATCGAAAGGGAAAATATTGATTACTTTCAGTAATTAGTATCCACTATCCAATCTGTTTGTATGATTTGACTGGATTATTTTGGTAAAGAGTTTTGACATGACATGTGTTGGAAACTGGCAATTTATAAATAAATTGAGTTGAAATTGAATTCAGATGCATGGAGTTAGGAAACTTTTTGCCCCTACGTACTCATCTAATCTTTTAAGACAAAACGTCTATTGTTTTTCAGTTTGTTAGTTTCTGACATAATAAATGTCACATATAGCAAAAAAAACAAAAAGTGTTCAAGATTAAGATTAGATAAATTTAGCAGATTAAACTAACTCTTTGGTCCAAATTTACCTAGTTTCCCTTAAAATTAGGAAGGGTAGATTAATTGCATTGTTGTTCTCATAATCAGACTTCTAATACCAGAAATTGTTCTTCAACACCGACAACATTTAATCATAGAATTGGATCCTAGTTGTCGAGTTTTTATATTTACTTCTTCCTCACAACTCATGAATTGGAGTTTATTTCCCAGTTAGCAAAATATATTGAAGCAAATTTAGCAAATAATTAACAGCTCACACTGAATACCAATTGTCTTTAATGTTTCACAGTGTGATCATTCAGCTTGTAAAGAAGATTTATAAATAATACTTGTGATTTTAACCCTTTTCTATTCACTACTTCTTGGACAAAAATAGATATTCAAGGAATAACTCAGCAGCAACTGCTGATGTAAAAGGAATTTGAAGAATGGCCTCTGAAGAAGGCAAAAACACACAAAAACATTACATGTTCTGTCTGTTTGATAAGAACTGAAATATGAACTACTGCAATCTTCTTATTTACCTTTCTATGCTGGAATCTATGAGCTGACCTACAATATGAGACATAGGCAGGAAAAGCCAAAGTCAGCTACTTCAATCTTCCTGATGATGTCTGCCTTCACATCAGTGTGTACAAATCTGGCTTTTTATTACAGCTACTGTAGGGTTGCATCAGCCCAAAGGCGGATCAGATACAGAAACAGTACGAAATCTTTTACTGGATGTTTGTTTGTAAATCTCACATCCAATATTGTGTTACAAACTGAACCTTTTGGGCAGTGGGGATTTACCATTAGGCAATACCAGGCAGTTGCCTAGGGCCCCACGTCCCTGTGGGACCCATAAAACCCTGTTTACATGTGTGGTTAATACAACTATTCCTTATTTGTGCACATTAATTATGTTTTTGATAAAAATCCTTTTGCTAAAAGTGTCCATCACATTGGATCAGTCCATTTGCTGCACATGTTCAGAAAGGTCCAAACAGACAGCAGCAAACCATTTGAAAATAAATGATGAGAAGAGCAGTCTTGCCAACCTAACATTTTTGTAGCTATATTTAACAACTTTTCAGACCCCTCTAGCACTTTCATTTCAAAAAAGCGCCAAAATCTAGCGACTTTTTTCTGCTACTGGAGACTTTTGCGACAGCATATAAAAGCACCAATAACTGCTCTCCAGAGCAAGTAGATTTGCTCTCCTTTCTTGTCTGCTGTCATGATTCATGCAGACATTATTTCAGACAAATGAAAAATGGAGAAAAGATAAGCAGATCATGGCTTCTCTGCAGTAAAAAAAGGGCTGTTTAATTTACCGTTTCCATTGCCTTTTTTTGGAAACACAGGAAGGAGCGATCAGCTAAGCGAGCTTAGTGTTTGCAAAAAATCTTTCATTCCTTTTGAGACAGCATGAGAAGTCAGCTGAGTACAAAAAATAGAGAAGAAAACAAGAAAAGGGACAAAACCAAGAACAAATAATGGATAGCTATTCTATTAAAATGTCTTTATCTGTATAATGTGTCGTTTTATGTGTTGTCTTCTCAATTCAGAGGGCCCCCTGCCTGTCTTTGCCTAGGGCCCCAAATTTCCCAAATCCACCCCTGTTTTTGAGAAGTAAAACTAAACCTGACTTTTTAAAGTTAAAACAAAGGGATTGGGTCATCCAATGGACCCATTGCACTGGGGCAAAAAGGTGTGATTGAAACTGTATTCATATATATATATANGGGCCCCACGTCCCTGTGGGACCCATAAAACCCTGTTTACATGTGTGGTTAATACAACTATTCCTTATTTGTGCACATTGATTATGTTTTTGATAAAAATCCTTTTGCTAAAAGTGTCCACCACATTGGATCAGTCCATTTGCTGCACATGTTCAGAAAGGTCCAAACAGACAGCAACAAATCATTTGAAAATAAATGATGCGAAGAGCAGTCTTGCCAACCTAACACTTTTGTCGCTATATTTAGCAACTTTTTAGACCCCTCTAGCACTTATATTTCAAAAAAGCGCCCAAATCTAGCTACTGGAGACTTTTGCGACAGCATATAAAAGCACCAATCACTGCTCTCCAGAGCAAGTAGATTTGCTCTCCTTTCTTGTCTACTGTCATGATTCATGCAGACATTATTTCAGACAAATGAAAAATGGACTTTTTCCAGGTGGCTGCTCTGCGGGGCCTGGGCCACCGGGGTCCTGTTGTGCCACCCTGAGGCCTTGGGTCCCTGGGGCCCATGGCCAGATCCACTTCGGGGTAGCTGGCTGCCGGCAAAGCCCCCGCACTCGTCCCCACGGCTCCTGGGGGCTCTGGTATTGTGGTGGCTGGGGATTTTCCTCGGGGCCGTCTCTCTTCCTCCCTTGATGGGGGGTCAGATTTCTTGGGTTGGCCCCTCCTGGGCGTCTTTGCTCTTGGGATCCCTTTGGGAATCTGGGGCTTTGGGTCCCTCGGTGCTTGGCTCGACCCTCTGGAGGGGCGGGTTTTTGGCTCCTCACAACCACTATTGAGCATTTTTCCTTTGGATAAAGTTTACATGCACGAGTGCACCCTCATAAACAGCTACAGGTGCTTGGTTCCAGGTACTTAGAGATTCACTTCCTAATAGAAAGCCCATATTCTGATATTCAGCTAACACAGTATAGATGTCAGCTTAAATAATGCTACTTATACTTCAGCGATAGTATCAAGGTGTTACTTTGTTTTATCTCTTATACTATATCGTTGATTGTGCTGTTCTTTTTACAGCTCTGTGCAGGTGATGAAGTAGACTGAAGATGTTTTA